ACTCTATTTTTGTGAGATCAGGGGCACTACTCAAAGTGTGACGGGATGGAGTGTTTTTTCCCAGTCTAGTAAAATTGGTTTTAGACTCGTGGAGAAAATTGAGAAGGGGACTGCAGGATCTTTCTTTACCCTCTACTTTAAGACCGCGATGGCATCGATGGTGCCTATTTTTTAACACTGTGTTTGACTGTTATGTTCTGGATCTGATTTGTTTGTACCCACGAAGTCACATGTTGAGATCTGAACCCCAGTGTTGAAGTTGGGGCCTGCTGGGGTCCTGGGGCCTTGCACAGAGTAGGCATTCAGGAAACTATGGAATTAGAGGTATTGGGATCATAGGGGCAGATGCCTCACGAATGGCTGAGTGCTATTCTCACAGGAGTGAGTGAGTTCTAACTCTTGGTTCCCACGTGAGCTGGTTGTTGAAAAGACCTGGTACCTCCCTTCCTTCTGTCACTTCCTTGCTCATCCTGTGATCTGCACATGCAGGCTCCTCTTGCCTTGCACTATGAGCGGAAGTAGCCTGACGCTTTCACCAAAAGCAGATGCTGGGGCCATGCTTCTCGTACAGCCTGCAGAACTTGAGCCAGATAAATTTCTTTTCTTTGTAAATTACCCAATCTCAAGTTTTAAAAGTAACAACACAAAAGGCAGACTGAAACACCGACGTATGGTAGGCACTCTATATTTGCTTGCTCAGTTGTTAGATTGACAGAAAAATTGAGCTGTGCACCTTGTAAACTTCTGTAACAATGTTCTCACTGGAATGGAATTTACATCCTGGCACCAAGGAGAACAGAATGGCAAGGCTCTGTCAGATTGCATATGAAGTTTGAATTCTATCTCATATCATTCCATAGTTTCCTGAATGCCTACTCTGTGAAAGACTCCGTGCTAGGATCAGGGAGGGCAAGAGGAATGAGTGAAAAATCTGGCTCTAGAGGAGCTCACAGTCTAAAGTGAGTGTGGGAGGTTAAAAGTGGCTGGAAATTCTTTTCTATGCCTCCAGTTGAGGGGTAGAATCTAACTCCCCTCCCCTTGAATTTGGACTAGCATCCAGATTGATTTGACTAATCAATAGAATGGAGCAGAAGTAACGTTTGGTCTTCCGAGGCTAAGACAAAAGAAGCCTTGCAGCTTCCACCCAGTTCTTTTGGAATGCTTGGTCTGGGGGAAGCCAGCAGCCATGGAAGAAGTCCAAGTGCCTTAAGACTATTATGCTTAAAAAGACATTTGTGGGCATTCTGGTCAACAGTCCAAGGTATCCCCAGTCTTCCAGCTGTCCCTGCCAAGGTGCTAGACATGATTGAAACTGTCATAGACCCTCCAGTCTAGGGCATCTGCCGGGTGAGTGCCACTGAGTGACCTCAATTAATACCATGGGAAGCAGAAGAATCTCCCAGCCAAGTTTTGGCCAAATTTACCTACCCACAAAATCCAGCTGTAATAAAAAGGACATTGTTCTAAGCCATTAAGTTTTGGGGTAGTTTGTTGTCCCACAATAGACAACCAGAACAGAGAGGTAAGAAAATAATCAGGTTCAAATAAGAATTTTAATAAAAGATATTTACAAAGTGTTGTTGGAAAACAGAACAAATAATTGGAACAAATCATTCTGTTCTTGGAGAGGCCAGGCCACCACTTTGCCCTGCTTGGCAGGGCACCAATCACGTTGTAGTCTTTGTGAGCAGCACCCCTGGAGTTGTGCAGTGCCCAACGTGAGCAGACGTGTGGCAATTGTAGATAATGGGTGCGAGGAAGGCAGGTTAGCAGGGAAAACTATATAGAAAGGGAACTGGAGCTGGGAATTAACATGTGCTCCAAGGAGTGGGGAGAAATGACACTTAAGCCTGCATCAGCATGAGCCCAGACTTGAGAGCAGAGGTACCCATGATGCTCTTGGTGCATCAATACTGGTTCTGTATCACTGCCATAGATAGGAGGAATGGCTGCAGGTGAGCCTCCAAAGGCAGAGTGATGTGAAGGGCATCATTTTCTTTTTTTCTTTTTCTTTTCTTTTGAGACAGAGTCTTGCTCTGTCACCCAGGTTGGAGTGCAGTAATGTGATCTTGGCTCACTGCAACTTCTGTCTCCTGGGTTAAAGCAATTCTCCTGCCTCAGCCTCCCAAGTAGCTGGGACCACAGGCGTGCGCCACCATGCCCAGCTAATTTTTGTATTTTTAGTAGAGACGGGGTTTCACCATGTTGCCCAGGATGGTCTCGATCTCTTGACCTTGTGATCCGCATGCCTTGGCCTCCCAAAGTGCTGGGATTACAGGTATGAGCCAGTGTGCCCACCTGAAGGCCATCATTTTTATACTGTGATGAGGAGTTGGGAGGATGAAGGCAACAGGGAAACTTAGAAGATTTTAAAGCAGGGAGTGACAGGCTCAAAACAGTATTTGAGAAAATTGCAGTTCAAAACCCCATAGACTACGAAAGACACTGTTCTTCCAATTCCCTGAGTCTCCCTGAAAGCTTGGTAGATAGATTTTTTTTTTTTTATAGCAATGTCTTCAACAACCGGGGATTACTCGATGTTTCATTTAAAAGGATCATTAAAGGAAAACCGAGGCACATCACATCTGCCTTCTTTAATTGCTCATTTATTATTACTGTGGGTGAGATAACAGCTTTGTGTTATTCTTCTAAATAGTATAAAACGTTTATTGGTAAATGTAGCAGTACATAAATTAATGCTGGTTGAGATTATTTTTCTCCACTGATAGCCGTAATTTTTACTTAAAGTGAAACCATTTTGTGCTGCCTCATTCTGGCTCAGAGCTGAGTGTGGGCATTAGGAACTGACCACATGTCTCTTAGTTTCTGTGGGATGGCAGGATTTTGTTGGTGAGTTGGCTCTCTGGTTGCTTTGTGAAACCAATTTCTTTCATACTTTTTAAGACCGCAGTACTTGGGAAGAGAGCACATGGAGGTGTAAAACGTCCTTTTCTCCGTCACATCCAAATGTACTAAAAGTGGCTTTTAGAAATGAAGATATTCATTATTTCACTTATCTGAAAGTCAACAGGTGGGTGGATCCATAGAGTTGATCTGGTGGCTTAACACTCACTGAGGACCCAAAATTGTCTTTTCATATGACAGTGTCCAAACACAGGAAATATTTTTGTGTTTTGTTTACATTTTTTTGTTTTTTAACTTCTGGAGAAAATTTTTTTCCAAAATCCTCCTGCAGACATCCTCTCGGGTTTTCTATTCCTGATCTGGGTTCATATCCACCTCCAATCCGACCGCAGGAAAGAGAGAAAGCTTAGAGGAGATGAGCCGTGGCCCATTCCCTGGGCAGGGGAGAGGGACCTACATACTCTGTCGGCACGTGGCCATTCTGTATTTGAGGCAAATGAGGCTTTCTTCTAGGCAACTCCAGAGGAATGGCTGTGTGTGCAGCATATGATGCTGGCCACAGGTCAAACCAATTTAAGGGTGTTGATTTAATACATACCATATGCTCAGTTCTGTATCCCTGCTGGCAGATACAACAGAAGCGTAGAAGCAATGCTTGTTCTCAGGGAGTATCAGTGGGCATTGTAATAAAGCAGGCCATTCCTTAGCTGGAGGAATTAATTTAATAAAATATATGGATTAGCTATTACACCTTGTGAGGTGGGAATAGAGAGATGAATGAAACCTAGTTCTTGCCCACAATAATGTGCAATTCCCTTCACCATCTGCTTTATTCAGTCTGGTCATACTGCAGGTGGACCCATCCTCCAGCCTCCCCATGCTCTGTGTGCTGCCCCTGGAGCACACAGAGCTACATCACAGCAGAAACACTTTTTCTCCCCTTTCAACTTGGTTTCCGAAGAGTCTCCCATCCAAGTACCGTCGAGGCCTGACCCTGTTTAGCTTCCAAATGTTTCTCAAGAGTCATCACTCATGGACCTGCCTGGGTTCAATGCTCCCTTCTAGCATTCTCTCTACTTCTCCCAGTTTACCTTTGTCACAGCTGTTGCTGTCTTGGGTCCTGTATGCCAGCTGTTCCTCTCAGCCAGGCCTGGAGCCCCCTGAAGGAAGATTGTTCTGTCATCAATTTTTATCCTCAGTGACACAGAGGCATGAGATGGCATGGTTTGAGCGGAAAACTTCCAAGGGGTTCCATGTTACTGAAGCATATATTTCAGGCGGGGGTGTTATAATGAATAATGAAGCTGGAGACATAAGAAGGGCAAGATCATAAAGAGCTTTGAAAATTTTATTAATGAGCTATGACTTTATCCTGTATGTGATGGGGAATTATAGAGGTCTTTGAAGCAGATGAGAAACATGAGTCTTATTAATGGGAAGATTAAGGCTTTGCTTTAAATAAAACACCCTCTCCTCCAAGTATCTTATAATGCAAAGAGCACTGCACTGATTTTGGGAGCCTGGGCTGAGCTATACTTCTGGCTTTTCTGTACGTATTATGCAAGGAGACTCAGCAAGTCCACACTGTCTCAGAACTCAGGGTTCTGTTCTGTATAACAAAGGATAGAGTATCAAGCATTGCAGAGATCCCTTAGAGTTTTTTCATAATAGGATTTGGTGTCACTCTGGGATTCTCTTAAGAAAAGTAGGAGTTCATTCTTGTCAGTCAGGGAGGCTTTGCATCAGAACATTTTAGTGAATTTCTGTTTCTTGCCTCTGTGCTGTATGTAAAAATAAGCCAAGCCTACTGAAAGAACAGACGGGTGCTACCCTGGCCCACGAAGCCCTTTTACTTCCTTGTTTTCTGTATAAGTCATTATTGCTTATTCTTTTATTCATCCTGCTGATGTTACTACAAGATAGGTCTGCAAAGAGGGGTTCTGAAGACAAAATATGGAGGGAGGTGCAGCCCCTGGGTCCCTGATCAAGTGAGTCCCCTTGTCTGTCCTTTCTCTGCAGTAAGTCTTTCTCTATGGCAGGAGGTAGAGTCCTGCCATTCCGCTTGCATCTCTGATCATCCAACTTTTTTCTCTTGCGTTCCTTCTTAAATATGGCTGCCTGCATTCTCATTGCAGACCTCCTCCGACAAGGAGTCCATCCTGACCATCCTCAAGGTCCTCGGAGATCTTCTTTCTGTTGGTGAGTAGGCCATGCTCTCATGCTTTCATAGGGTGGACGCGGAGCCTCCCGGCTGTGATCTCTCCCAGGGACCTCCGTGGCCTGGGGGTTTGCTCTTGCTTCAGTTTCCTGTGAGAGGCAGCATCACTAGCCTATCTTTTTTCTCTAAGGTTAATGAGACCCAAATAACCTGGACTGATTGTACTCACAATCAGTCTTCTTACCCAACACCGAAGAGGAAAGTAGACTTGGTAGTAACCCTCTGTGGGTCTACCCCTCTTCTCCCTCTGCTCTCTTCCATGTGGCCTATTTAAGAGAGCCAAGTGTCAGAAGCTGTCTTGCCTATTTCAAGTAGAGACAGAAATATCAGGCAGGAGCTGAACTTGGAAGTGGGTAAGCATCACGTTTTCAGAGATAAGATGACAGAGTCGACTACATTGGAATCAACTGAGTTAACTGGAGCATGCGTCTATTAGCTCAAGTTCCTAGTGAGATTTTTAAACATTCCGACATTCACTCAATTTGCATTTTTATGTATGCTGGCCACATTACTCTAGAAAGAGATGTTAACACTGAACAGGCAATGTCAGAAATAAATGACGCTCCAGACCCACAGATCCTGAAGGTTACAGCTTCAAGAGGAAGGGACCCATCATATTGGGGTCTTACCATGGTTTGTACTGCATTCTATTAGCAGGCTGACTTCCATTTAGTCTTTTGAGTGGGGTCTGTGTAAGTGAAGTCACTTGTCTCTGGGATAGTGCTGTCTTATGTTTGCTCAGAGGTGTCTGAAACTCTTAGGATGAAACCTTGAAGTTCTCCCTCTGATAAGGTGGTGATTACTGCACCTCTTTCAGAGAATGCTACTTTTCATTAGGATAAAAAATCAGATGTTGTTCTTTGATAGTGTCCCACCCTCTTGGCCACCTTGGTTAGGTCAACTTTGCCCTGTGTATAGAGAGAATTAACCAAGGGAAAGTTGAAATGAAATCGTTGCTTTTGACTTTGTCCTTGGGCAAGGTGGAGGAGACCCCTGTTCAAAATTGTACTTAGGTGGAAAGACCAGTAGTTCATCAAAGCTCTAGACTCCTTCAAAATTCCCTAGATAGGATGATTGGATGTTTCTTTCTCAAGGTACTACTCCAGTAGTTTCTGCAATTTTCTCCCATCAGTTTCTGAAAATCAGAAAATCATTACGCCATCAATACAGTGATTCCAGATTAGGTCATCATCCCAATCCTTGTTACAGAAGATTCAAATGTATAGCAGAGGGATATTGATATTCCCTCTTCTAAGTATATGATAATACAAAAGCCTATATGAAAATTACAACATGTACACACAGGTATACACACATGTACCAAATATTCAACAGATTCTCAGACAAGCTCTGTATATTACATGTGTTGCAGATGACCAATACTAGATTCTTAAATATTCCACTATTTTTCTATTTCACAACCCTCTTTCCTTACCTGATAGTACAACTTTAACACAGGTTGCTTTAAGAACTACACAATTTTGTGTAGTTGAAATGAACTAATTCTTTCTCTGTCTCTAGCTGTGAGGTCTGTCTTCTGCTCCAAGAAAAATGGGGGTTATTACTTGTGGCTCATCTTTCCTCTGGCTTCCCCTTAGGCACAGACCGGAGGATTCACTACATGATCAGCAAGGGTGGCAGTGAGGCTCTTCTGCAGACCCTGGTAGACACAGCGAGGACAGCTCCTCCAGACTATGACATCCTCCTGCCTCTCTTCCGGCTGCTGGCCAAAGTTGGCCTAAGAGGTACTCATACTCCAAGACCTAAAACTAACTAATAAGGCACTTCTAGGGTTGTTTTGATGAGTTACAATTTGGGAAGCTCTGGTGGAGAAGCACAGGGAGGAAGTGGCAGGGAGGTTCTGGACACCTTGGTGGTGATGGCAGGACCAGACCCTTAGGAGAAACAGTTTTGTTGACTTAGATGTCAGCTCATCCAAGGTATGGTGCTCTGGACAGAGCCCAGAACAAACATGGGCTACATGGGGCATGGACCATATGGGGGGAAGGAGAGGAGTACTCCAACGCAGTGTTTAATTATTTAAAAAATAAATGGAACATGTCTAAAAGTTGCATCACAAGGCTGTGGAGAAAAAGGAACACTTATACATTGTTGGTAGGAGTATAAGTAAGTTCAACCATTGTGGAAGACAATGTGATTCCTTAAAAACCTAAAGACAGGGCTGGGCTCGGTGGCTCAAGCCTGTAATCCCAGCACTTTGGGAGGCCGAGGCGGGTGGATCACGAGGTCAAGAGATCGAGACCATCCTGGTCAACATGGTGAAACCCCATCTCTACTAAAAATACAAAAAATCAGCTGGGCGTGGTGGTGCGTGCCTGTAATCCCAGCTACTCAGGAGGCTGAGGCAGGAGAATTGCCTGAACCCAGGAGGCGGAGGTTGCGGTGAGCCGAGATCGCGCCATTGCACTCCAGCCTGGGTAACATGAGTGAAACTCCGTCCCCCCCCCCAAAAAAAAAAAAACCAAAAACCTAAAGACAGAAATATCGTTCAACTCAGCAATCCCATTTCTGGGCATATATACCCCAAAGAATATAAATCATTCTATTATAAAGATGCTTGCATTCATTCATTGCAGCACTATTCACAATTACAAAGACATGGACACAACCTAAATTCCCATCAGTAATAGACTAGATAAAGAAAGTGTGGTACATATACACTGTGGAATATCATACAGCTATGAAAAGTAGATCATGTCCTTTGCAGGGACATGAGTGGAGCTGGAGGCCATTACCCTTAGCAAACTCAAGCAGAAACAGAAAACCAAATACCTCATATTGTCACTTATGAGTGTGAACTAAATGATGAGAACACATGGACACAGAGGGGAACATCACGCACACTGGGGTCTGTCGGAGGATGGAGGGTAAGAGGAGGGAGAGGATTAGGAAAAATAACTAATGGGTACTAGGCTTAATACCTGGGTGCTGAAATAACCCATACAACAAATCCCCGTGACCTAAGTTTACCTATGTAACAAACCTGCGCATTTACCCTTGAACTTAAAAAAGTTAAAAAAAGAAAGTCTATTATACAAGTGTACTGTTTTCCTAAGGTTGCCATAACAAATGGCCACGAACTGACTAGGTTAACATAACAGAAGAGTGTTAGGAGATCAGAAGTCCGACATCAAGTGTTGGCAAGTTTTGGTTCCTTCTGGAGGCCCTGAGGGAGAATCGGTTCCGTGCCTCTCTCCTCTGAGGGTTCCAGAAATCCTTGCTGTTTCTTGGACTGTAGATGTTTCACTCCAGTCTCTGCCTCCATCTTCACATGCGGTTCTCCTCTGTATCTTTTCCTTGTTGTGTAAGGCCATCAGTCGTAGGATTTAGAGCCTACTCTAATCTGTATGACCTAATCTTTAGTAATAAAATCTGCACAGACTCTATTTCCGAAAAGAATAACATTCTGAGCTTCTGGGTGGACATGAATGTTTTGGGGCCGCTATTCAATCCACTACAAGTCACAAAGAAGTGGAACATTCCTAGTTGAAGGGAAGATGGGGGAAGGGCCTAGAGTTCTTTCCATTTAGGCTCCATAGACGTTTCTCTTTTACCAAGGAAAAGCCTGAAACATTTCCCTAAAATTCTAGAAGTTCTTGGAGCACAGTTTAAAAGCATGGGCACTTAGGACTCAGGCAAACGTTGCAAATGCGTTGCAAGTGTTAAGTTCTAATTGTGTGCTGAGTCTTATATAGGTCACAACTGAGAAGCTCAGATCCTCTGAAAAGCAGACCTTTGATGTCCAGAACTATCAGTGACAGCCAAGGGCCCATGGGTTCTGGAGTACTCTTCCTTTCAATATTTGGATCTCCATTTTGGGTCTGTTTAACATTCTGCTGATAATGATGGAGCACTAGGCTTTTTGCCAGCACCTGCATGAGCACGTCCCAGAAAAAAATCAATACAATTCACTCGGTGAATATTGAACAGATATTTACTGCATGTCTCCTAGGGTCAGGTGCTTTAGGCACTAGGAACACCATGATGACCAAGGAAATTAAGGACCTGCTCTCATGGAATTATGTTCAGGTGGAGGAGGCCAGCAAATCCACAAATAACTTGGCGATAGCAGACTATGATGAATGATGTAAGAGGAAGCAAGAGTGATGCTACTCTAGACTGGTGTGGTCAGGAGAGGTAACATTTGAGCTAAAACTTCAAGAATGAGAAATCAGTAAACCAAAGAGTGGGTCATGTGAACTCCAGGAAAGGATCACAGAGACCTGATACATCCCTCGGTCATAAACAGTGTAAGCTGGGGAGTCAGACCTGGGTTTCAGTTCTGGCCCTGACACTTACTAGCTGTGTGACCTTGGGCAAAGTAGTTAAACTTTCTGAGCATTGTACCTTTATATAAAATAGGGTTATCTTTGTGTAAAATAGAGTCATCTGTACAGTTGGCCTTCCATTTCTGTGGGTTCTGCACCCATGGATTCAGTTAACCTTGGATTGAAAATACTTAAACAACTGTATCTGTACTAAACATGTACAGACTTTTTTCTTGTCATTATTCCCTAGACAAAACAGAATAACAAATATTTACGTAGCATTTACATTAGATTAAGTATTACAGTAATCTAGAGATGATGTAAGGTACGAGGATGTGTGTAGGTAGTATGCAAATACTACACCATTTTATATCAGGGATTTGAGCATCCATGGATTTTGGTATCTGTGAGAATCCTGGAACCAATCCCATGTGGATACTTTACTTAATTTTAGGGTGATATGAGGATTAAACAAGGTATTATATGTCACGTGCTTAGCATGTGGTTCAGGACCCTGGAAAACTAGGGTCATACAGGTTTTATAGGAGAAAGAGAGACATGAGAGATACACCAGGCCAGTGATTTCCAAGTTATTCACCTTGATATTACTATTGTAGTGATTACATCACCACAGTTTCTGCCATCAAGGGGTTATAGTCCTTGACACTGACATTCAGGTTGCTCTAGGCTGACCTGAACAGAACAGAAATAAGGTTGGATGCTCATGAAGGAATGGGATAGATATCTCTTTTCTGATGAAGGGAATCGGTTATGTAGGTTTAGTTGCAACCTCTTTGCTGATGTCCTTTAGCCCAGAGGTACATATCAGTAAATCAGGTTTAGGATTTTATTTTCGTTTAATTCATTTCTACCTGCGATGAATCTGATAGAGACGTATTCTTGCAAAAACAAACATGATGATTAGACATTACCCATTGACTGGTATCATAGTGGGGACAAGGAAAAGAAAATGTTTCTTTTTTATGCTTATTTCCTAATTATTAAAATAATAAGGACTTATTTGTAACACTAGAAGTTAGGTTATTTGGAGCAGTAAGTTAGAAATATTAGAGGGAAAAAATTATTTTTTTAAAACTATATTTTGACTTTTTATTATGAAAACTGTCATATAGAAAGATGTCCTCTTATGTACCTAAACTTAGTTCTAACCATTGTTAGCATTTTTCCATATTTTCTTCACCTATTTATTTTTATCTGAAATATTTTAAGAGAAATTACGGGTAGCATTTTCCTCCTAAATCCTTTCAAGTGCATTTCTTTGAAAAGAGACATTTCCCTACATAATCACAATTACCATTACTACAAACCTAATAAAATAAAAGATACACACGTAATTTATATTTATTCCAGCTTCTCCACATGTTCCCAACTGTCTTTTACAGACATACTCAGAGCAAGATTCAATCCAAGTTGATACATTACTTTTTAATGTTATATCAAGAATTATATTAATATCAAGAATATTAAATATTCTTCATTCTAGAATTGTCTTAAAGGAAGAACTTTATTCCCAGTTGAACTGTGGTTAATGTATGAGGACAACCTAAATATAGGGACTGGAGAGTTATTCAACCCACAAGCTTGCATGTAAATATGTGTAGCCCAGATTAGCTCTTTTGATTCATTTGGTTCTAGTGGGGACACATTTAGCAGCATTTGTCACTAGGTCTGAAAAATGTCTTTGGCTATGATTATCTTCCTCCTTCACCGTCTTTCCTTTCCTCCACTTCACACACTGTACAATCCAGAATCAATGTGGAGTGCCACTAAGCTAGATTGATTTGTGTTCTTAGATAAAAAGATTGGACGGAAGGCCCTGGAACTGGAAGCACTTGATGTCACCTTGATTCTGGCCAGGAAGAACCTATCCCATGGCCAGAACTTCCTTCACTGTCTCTGGGCTCTGCGTGTGTTTGCCTCCAGTGGTGAGTGACTCTATTGTGACTCTCGGGGATGGCTTCCAAACCTGGGCAGGGACACAAGGAAACTGCGCGAGGGTCTGGTTGGAAGAAAGGCATGGGTGGGTGATACACATGGTGGTCCCAGTCAGATAAATAAAAGGAGGCTGACAATCCAGATGTCGTGGTGGTGAGAAGTTACTTCTTCATCTTCTCCTTAGCCAGGCAGAGCTCTTGTCTGGTCCTACAGATAGACTTCAATAGTGTTTCTCCTTGGGTATCATACATGATAGTATTCTAGACTTTTCTATTAGTACTACAAGGTAAAAAAGATCTATGACAGGAGAAGGACAGACTTTATTTAGTCCTAGTCATATTCAAGTGTTGTATCTGGGCAAAATGACTCTCACATCACAAACCTCTCTACCATATTCCTGAAATTGCTTGTTGAATACAATGTCCCTTACCATTGAAAAAAAACTCCATGATCCTTCTCAACAGGGTCCTCCAGGTAATTATTAGGAACATCATAGCCCAGTTGATACTTATTTGCTGACTCCTGATTTATTTCTAATTATCATAACAATTTTGTATTTAGACCCACAATTTTATAGCTTAGAAAAAGAAACTTTAGAGTGAAGCAAGGCTGGGCATGGTGGCTCATGCCTGTAATCCCAGCCCTCTGGGAGGCTGAGATGGGTAGACCACTTGAGCCCAGGAGTTGGAGACCAGCCTGGTCTCTACTAAAAATACAGAAAATTAGCTGGGTGTGGTAGCACGTGCCTGTAGTCCCAGTTACTTGGAAGGCTGAGGTAGGAAAATCACTTGAGCCCAGGAAGTCAAGGCTGTAGTGAGCAATGATCATGCCCCTGCACTCCAGCCTGGGCAACAGAGCATGACCCTGTCTCAAAAAGAAAAAAAAAAGTGAAGCAATTGCTTGAATTCATACAGATACAAACTCACGAGGGCGTAATTTCTAACTCCAGAACTCATTTTAATTCTATTCCATATGGAAACTTTTTATTAATACATTAGATCCTATAGCTTCTGTCTCATATATAATGAGCATAGACTTTCATTTCTCCTTTCTGAGTTCCCTTCCTGTGAAATGAAAGTGCCAATTATTTAGAGGTTATATAGTCTGTAGGGGAAAGAATGTGGGCTTAGAGCCAAAAAGACCTGAGTCTGGCTGTGATTCTATTTCTTATGAGTCACGAAACATGAGTACTTAACCTATGGGACCTCAGTTTCATCCTTTACAAAACTATAGTGTAATAATGATTACTATTACTCTGCTAGGGCTGTCTTAACGAAATACCACAGTCTGTGTGGCTTTACAAAGAACTAAAACAGATTTACAGGAAAAAAACTAACAAGCCCATTCAAAAGTGGGCAAAGGATATGAACAGACACTTTACAAAAGAAGACATACGTGAGGCCAACAAACATATGAAAAAATGCTCATCATCACTGGTCATCAGAGAAATGCAAATCAAAACTACATTGAGATACCATCTCACGCCAGTTAGAATGGCGATCATTAAAAAATCTGGAGACAACAGATGCTGGAGAGGATGTGGAGAAATAGGAACACTC